TTCGGAAGACCAGACCGGTGGTCACCTTTCATGCAAGCGAGCCACTAACCACCACTCCGCTCCCTCCAATGGCGCAAACCCCATACGCTCTCCACGAGTTAGGAAAAAAGAAGCCGGCATATACGAACAATACTAAGGAGGCCAGCGGTGGCAATTTCTGTTGAGGCTTTTGCGGAAACTACATCTCCACGAGCTGGATGTGATTACTGTTCCAGATTGGCACAGACAGCAGGTCGCATCACATCACGACGTCCACGTTAACCATTCTGCCATTGAGGCTATGCTTTGAAGAAGCCAAACCCATCACCAATCATGAGGCTCAGACCCCGTCCTTCTCATTCTGCTACGACGCCGGCATATTCCCTGGACAATAAACAGAGACGCGAGAGACCCGCTCGAGAGCGACAACCTGATGGTCGAGCAGGATGGCTGTAGTCTATTCGCGAACGGTGGGAGATTACCAGTAACAACATGACACAACGCCCCGGAAAACCTATCAGATCGATAGGACCGCCACCATCAGGTCGACAAGTTGGCAAGACCGCGACCGTCGTGGTTAGTGCCGAAGATCACCATGGTTGTTGACAGATCGACTTCTTGAGACTGTCAGACTGGAATGACGGGTGTAACGGTCGTCGACGTGGTTTCGTTGCAAACACAGATGGACTTGGAGAAATCAGGACTCGCCGCTGTGTACATCAAGTCATGGATTGTTGAAAAAGTCAGGCCATGAATTGCACCTGGGGGTATCATGTGATCGGTGTCAACAACCACCAGGCAAAGGGAGATATGCTTCCACTCCGTACGTTCCCATTGTATGTACTCCCGCGGACACTGGAGTGAAATGGGGACGCATTTCGTCAAAATAAGGCGCCAAGATAAACGCGAGCAATCTCTTCCCGAACTCGAGGCGTGGCCCTCTTCCAGAACAACAAGACACGAGGCTGATACCCAGTATCTCTCCGAAAAGGCCCAGCGGGGTCAGTCGCAAATCACCTGTGTACTATGTATTGATTAATCTTATCAAGATGTAAAGTACCAGCCATAATCTGCGTCCACGTAGTGCGCCCTCGACTATTTTGACGAGCAGCTGAAAAGGATAAGATTGCTGCCCGTTGGGGATGGTTAAAGAGATCGCCGCTGTTTTAGGTGTGTCAAGGAAACACAACTAATGGGTGGAATAAATTCAGCCTCATTCTGCCTTGTCGAAATCCAAACAGACAGAGGCTTAGCGAGGGAAAGCGTTGTCGATCCTCGACTCGAAACGAGGCTCCTGGGTCAGTGAGGGACTAGTTAATGGCGAAACCCGGGATCGGATCAGTCTCGCCACACTCTTCTCATTTGTTCGTGCATACTATTTATTGCCACTGAGCTCGCAAACTTTTGCCGAAGGGAGGGGTGGAACAAAACACTTACTGCATGTGGGGTGACTTTACTCTCCCAGGTGTCTTTTTGACTGGGCGCGGATACACCATCCGGTGTGACATCTGAGTAGGGCATGTGTTGTTGTATCAGTCTAACTCAAGGTACCAGCAGACCGGGGGATTTCGTCCAACGGTACAAGCCGTGCCCCGGATCGGGGGCTCCCTATTTCGACGACCCCTGACCCGTTCTGTCGATCTTTGATTGTGGTGGAGATTATTTGGTGGCGAAACAGCCAATGGAGAGAAGGTATATGCTCCACAGTCTTGACACTATCTAATCTTGGTATGGGGGATAGGCGCTAGATCGTCAATACTAGACGTTACTATCCCGAACTCGGAACAGTTTAGCCTTGGCACTGACTTTAAAAGCTTATATCGATTCACCCAGTAGATTCTTGACCTCATCTGCTCAGCCTGTCCATCATAACAATCATGATGATCTACAATGTGTATTGATGGAAACAAACAACAAACAGCTTCATCGTAGTCGTTGGTATTGGGTCCACGACGTCAATGTTATGAGTCCCCAGGATGCTGTTGGTATATTAATGTCCAGAGCCCATGCCCAGGTAGGAACATTTCTTCTCTTCATCTCACCAACATACACTCTTTTGTATCTTTTCTTTCGAACAACACACGCCAGCTCACAATGGCGACTTGGGGATCTTCTCCGTCCACTCTTTTGATCACTCTCTTGTCCTTCCTCTCCTGCGTGTCTCTGACCATCGCCGTCCCAACTGATGTCTGCTCCAACAGCGTCTACACCGAACTAGCTGACTACTCCCCGGCCCAGGACTACTGTGCGGCCATCTATCCCCCCACATGTACCATCGAGGCTGCCAACCGCCGCAGGGCTTTCCCGTTCCGGGGCAATCGGGGCCAGCCTGCCTACTACTCCAACAACCGGGGTCAGCCTGCGCCTGTTTATGGCGGTAACCGCGGTCAGCCTGCGCCTGCGCCCGTCTATGGCGGTAATCGGGGCCAACCTGCGCCCGTCTATGGCGGTAACCGGGGTCAGCCTGCGCCTGCCTACGGCGGCAATCGGGGCCAACCTAGCTATCCCAACTATCCCAACTACCCCAACAACCCCAACAACCCCAACAACCCTGGCTATCCCAACCAGCCTTCGCCGACGCCTTCACCCGTCGACTATGACGCGCGACTATGGTCAGCTATCATGGCTGGTCCGGCGAGTGCCATCTCGACCTTCTGCTCGTGCATCCAGACACCGACGCCATGCGCAGTGACCTCGACCTCTTCTAGCACGGGTGGACCCATCCTTGGAACTACCACCAGCACTGATACTACTACCTCGTTCACTTCGGAGACGACGACGACTACCACCAGCGAGACCTCGACCTCGAGCCAGGACACCGGCCCGATTCTGAACACGAGCTCCACAAGCTCCACAACCAGCGAAGCCTCGACCTCGACTACTGCTACCAGCGAGACCTCAAGCACGAGCTCGAGCTCAGACACTGGCCCGATTTTGAATACAAGCTCGACTTCCAGCTCTGCTACAAGCTCGACCATGACCACGACTACTGCTGCTAGTGAGACCTCTAGCACGAGCGGATCCTCAAGCACAAGCTCGAGCTCGAGCTCGGACACCGGCCCAATCCTGAACACAAGCTCGACTTCCAGCTCTGCTACAAGCACGACCGCAACCTCGAGCACCAGCGAGACATCAAGCACAAGCTCCACTTTGAGCACCACCACGACCACGGGTGAAGCCACCAGCTCGACCTCTAGCTCCAGCGGCTCCTCAAGCACGAGCTCAAGCTCGAGCTCGGACACCGGCCCAATCCTGAACACGAGCTCGACCTCCAGCTCTACGTCCAGCTCCGATTCAAGCTCGACCACGACCACTGTTCCTACGACAACATCAACACTGATTACATCCACCACTTCGTCTGAAACTACGACCACCACGCCCGAGACTACGACCACCACTTCGTCTGACACGACGACAACCTCATCGGAGGCTACCACACCGAATGGGCCTCAGTCGACCACGTCTTCGTCTGCGACCTCCACCACGTCGTCCGAGACAACCAGCACCACGTCTGAGACCACAACCACCAGCGGCACCAGCACCCCCAGCACCACGACGACAACGACATCTTCCGCCCCTCCTGCCCCAACATGCAACACCCCAGGCGAATGCGGCCTCTTCGGCACCTGCGGCGGCAGCGAATCATGCTTCTGCTTCGGCACCATCTTGGGACTCTCGCTCTGCCTCGAAAACGTTGAATGCCCCTCGGCCGTCGGGTGTACCACTGACGACGACTGCCTCGGATCCATCTGTATTCTCGACAACAACTGCTGTGGTTTCTCGTACTGCGCCGTCGGCTGTGGCGGAGGCCTCGTGAAGCGGTCCGACGCGCTCTCGGGCAACGCTACCGAGGAGGCTGTGGGTGCGAGCCTTTGGGGCGCGGGCTGGCAGTACTAAATCATTGAACCCTGCCTCCCTTTCTCCCCCAACTTTTCACCCACCTGTCTAGGCACCTACCTATCTATGCATAGGTAGGTATCTAGATTCCTCAGGGATGAACTCATAGGTTATGGGATATCATATCACATCTCGACTTCGACGTCGATTCGAATCGAGGTTTTATCACGGACGGACAGGCGGACAGACGGACAGACGGACAGACGACGATATCAGACGGCAGCGCGCGATGGATAATCTGGGCTAATATGTATGTACATCCATACGCTACACGACGGCGGCGGCGGCGGCGACAAGGGGGTGTTTTTTTTGGTTCTTCATTTTTCCAATTACTTTTTCCCTACTTCTCTCTTTTTGGTGCACGGCGTGGGTGGGGTTGAAGGAAATGAATGGGTTTTACGAAATTAACCCGGTCACAAAGAGATTCAGTACATCATACCATCTATACCATCCCCATACCGTACCCTACCATGTACGCCATATATGTCTTACACGGGGTACCGGGTATTTGGGATTGGAAGGATGTTTTATTCTTAATCAAATATATATATCGTTTTATCATTCACACTCTTATTTTTCTCCTAGGGATTAACATTCGTCGTAGTTTCATGGGCAGTAGTTTCGTAGTTTCATGGCACGACAACAACAACAAGAAGAAGAAGAAGACCATTATCAGAACGTGTTACTCTCTCCCTTTCACCCGGGGTTCCTTAATAAAATGTGCTCGTTTACCAGAATATAAACCCTCTGAGAAGGTATTGAGCGCAGTTTGAAACCAGCCTCAGACACGCGTACACCCCCTCCCAAGTTAAACAACTATGCCCCAAACCAGTGAGTCATCTCGTCAAAGAAAGTATCCCAGAGTTTAGGACGAGCCAATTGTCAGAAAGTCTCGGCTTAAGTGTAGTGACGAGATTAGGATTCCTGCGTATATATCACTGGATGGCCGCGAGATAGTCTCGTTAGACATGCACTCCTCCACAAGACGGGCGCCAGAGATCTGGCTTGACGAGCATGGGCGATAACATTAGGCCTCGGCCTGGCCTTCCCGTGACATATATATCTAGGTCCTGTCGTCTTGAATAAGAGCCTTAGACCAAGAGGATCGAAAAGTTAGAGATAAACTAGAACTCTGCCAGTAGTGAGAAAGCGCCAATGGCGACGCAAAGCGGGACAGCAACAGCAAAATATAGCCAAAACCTCGACTGACCCGGGGCAAAGTCATCAGTCATGCTGAACAAGCTCGCAACCCACGACAGGGGCACAAAAATAAGGGCGATGATGGTCAGCCGTCTCACATTGACGGCCTCGGCGATCGACCGACGGGAGTCGATGAGCTGGAACATTGATGTCACCACCGAGACCATACGCTCCATCGACTGGCCATACACTTCGATTTTGGTGGACAGGTGGTCCAAGTCGTTCAAGATCAAATCCCACGGACCGCGCTCCTCCTCGGCCTTGCTCTGAGCCAAACAACAAGCGACGAACTGTCTCGTGGATTGGATCTTGAACTGCGACTGGATGGCGCGGTGGCGCCATTTCTGGAGTTCAATCATGTCGTCTCTCTCGCCGCGAAGTACCAACTCGATGTCTTTGAAAGAGTATTCGTAGTGCGCCAGATACCGAGCCATGACCTGGCTATATAGCATCCATTCGCCAACCACTATTCTCAGCGGGTAGTATGCCAGATCCAGAACGCTGGGTTTGGCGTGCTTGGAAGTCGGCAGACTCTGGACAAAGCAGTCCCGGAGTATTTGGACCAAGGACATGGAGGCAGAAGGAGGATCAAGTTGATGTCTCTGAGATTGAAAGGCAGAAAACAGGATCGGCGTCCGAAAGTCTTCGGTGCCATTATGAAGAGGGAATCTGCGGATATGGCACGAAGTGTCGCCGCACGAGATGTTAGAGGTTGTCGAGTCAACGAGGATCAATGCTTGTGACGAATCTCGGTCAGATGCTTGACTCTATTTGCTTCTGGGGAGGAAGGAAGTCTCGAAAACTTACCGATCCAAGACTGACCAAATGGTTTCAGCAAAACTGAACAACAGCTCCGAGCGATGCCCAACTGGCGTCCAGAGAGTGGCGGTAAGCGCCTGACGGTACGGTGCACATTTGCCGCAGTGTTGAAGATCCACGTAGAATTTCGAAACCCCTCCTCGGCACCGAGGTCAACAATCTGCTGGAAATGGATGTTGACCCTGTCTGCTTGAGATGCAATCTGAGATGGAGCTAGAGCAACTGAGGGAGGAGCCGGGGACTTCTCGATTTGGGCGTAATTCGTCACGACGTGGTCGGCAAAGAATATTGGGTCGATGTCGAGGGCTGTCCCTAGTATCTCCACGATTAAAGGGTGAAGATCTTCAATGAGAATGATACGCCCCGGACCGGCGCTGAACGGCGTGGCAAGGATGGAGCGGAGTTCGTCCAGATACACTTGATCGAAGCTCTGGGACCCCGTCGAAACCTCGGAAGCGCAGCCCGATAAGTAAATTCGACAGGAATCTTGTTGCAAGTCGCGATTCTCTAAAAATTGTGAGAGCCCAGCCACACACGGATTGCTCTGTTGCCGAAACCTCACAAATTCTCGATACGTGGCAGCGGTCTCCATTTAGCTTGATGATTCTCACTCGTGGCCGGCGCTGGCAATCAGGCCCAGAGCCGCAATACGGTTTGTCATGTTAACATGGGTACGTATGTCGCGGTGGCGTCACAAATTTGCATTCACCCCCTGGCCTGGTGGAGGCGGAGCTTCTGCAGGACGACGAAAAGGGATATTGTTGCCAGCGTCGTGCAATCATGATAGGACACATGGCGGCTGAATAATCGCAGATTGGAATGGTGCCCAAGGTGCCCAAGGTGCCCAGAGGCTCAACACCATGGTACTAACAACAGTTATCGCCAATGGTAACGCACGCCTTCATGCTTCTCTGATGTCAAAAAGGACTAATTAGCGAATACGTAGGCATGCGCCCAAAGGTTGGGGCGAACCCCTTAAGCTGGATGACAGGTTCGTTACAAAGAAATTCCGCTGGCATTCGAAGCCAGGGTGGAAACAAGTTTGGGGCCCATGTTCGTATAGTATATAATAAATCTGTCGAGGCGGCCCCCCAAATGAGTTCTTGATCCCTTTTGCCGCAAATTTCGAGCGTCGTCAGCCTAGAAGCCCGCTGTCTGACTACGTCCATAAGCTCTCTCGCCCACAAAACACCTTAGATCTCCAACAATATCTTCGATATGGAGTCACGCGCAGTCGAAACAGAGACAGGAGCGCAGCTGGCCGATCAAACAGAAGGTCCTGTGATCAACCAGTTTCTAGAAGAGTACAAGAGGAGTGGATACTTGGCCTACGGAAAGCTGACCCGACTCGCCAAAACAATCGTGGGGGATGAGCTGAGTCGGCGCAATATTAAGCATGAGCTCTACGACCGGGGGAGAGGGGGCTGGGATGGAGGAGGGGCAAAGACACCAAATTCAGCCAGACGAACTATCCTCCGACGGCAGGCTGAGCGCACCCAGAGGTACGAGAAAGTCGAGGAAATCGAGAAGGATATGCACGATCTCGCCGGTATTCGGATTGCACTTTACTATCCCAACGATTTTTCAAAAGTCGAAGGGATGATCACCGAGCGGTTTGAAGAAGTGAAGGCGGTCCAGGACTGGCCGGACTCGGAATTTGGACCACATCGCTATCCGAGTCTTGACGCAGAACCTTCTGCACGCACCGACATCTCTGGACGCAGAAGCAGGTTCCTAGGATACTTTGCTCGTCATTACCGAGTTCAGCTGAAGCCGAAAGATGATGATGGCCAATCGGCATTGAAAGATAGGGTCCTGGAGATTCAGCTCATGTCGCTGCTAATGCATACCTGGTCGAAGATGCACCACGAACTGATCTACAAGCCGCAGGAAGGACTCCCGGAAGTCGACGAAGATGACGAGCGCCTTGTCGATGTATCCAATGGAATCATCATTGCGGGAGAGCAGCTCTTACGGCACATCCAGATCAGCCTCGACAGGAAGAAGGCGCGGGGATCTCTCCCATTCAAGAATGAGGAAGATTTCCTAAGCTACCTGCGGGAACAGCGTTGGAAAGCAGGGGCCCGCTCAAGTGAGCAGTACCTCATGGCGCGCAGTGGTTATAACATGGACGGGATTCTCTATCGCTCACTTCGTGCGTATGGACTAAATACCCGCGAGAAGATCGATTGGCTACTTGAAAAGGTTGACAGACCCACTCATGAAAGCGAATTTCTCCTTATCACCTTGGCCAACTCGGAATGGTTTAGAGACCGCGAAGCCTCGACGCTGCGGCTTCCGAAGTCGGACAGACGCAATCCGTCCCGGCCTTACGAAGCGCTCAACCGAGATGAAGCGACACGACTAGTGCGCTACTATGCATGGCTCATCAGTAGTGCCTTGAGGTGGCAGGAGGTCCCGGAAATGGCCTTCCGTGGATATGCGCCATACAACGACAACCTCCCTTCTGGGGAGGATTTCCTCCAGATCCTCCATCCGAAGAGCCAGGGACTACTCAAGGCAGACACTGTTGCATGTTTGCTCGACTTTTGCGAGGATCTGTTATTTTCGAGTGAAGATGAGTGGAGGTTGAGTCTCGCTTTGTCCAGGCTGACGTGGTATATTATCCCGCCTGGGCTTGAAAAGAACGAAGACCGGCCCAGCACATCCAATACTCGGGATGAGAGCGAGTTCATCATATGTCCCAAGTATTTCGTCGATATACTTGATCGAATGACACATGATCCAACGACACATGATCCAACGACACATGATCCAACGACACATGATCCAACGACACATGATCCAACGACACATGATCCAACGACACATGATCCAACGATACAGGATTTAACGACACATGATCCAACGACACATGATCCAACGACACATGATCCAACGACACATGATCCAACGATACAGGATTTAACGACACATGATCTAACGACATATGATCTAACGATACATAATCCAACATATGATCTAACGATACATAATATAACGATACAAAATCTAACGATAGAGGATCTAACGACATATGAGCTAACGATGGGTAGACCAACGATAAAAAATCTAGCGATACATGATCCAACGACATATGAGCTAAGGATGCGTAGACCAACGATACAAAATCTAACGATACATGATCCAAGGACACATGATCCAACGATACGTGGTCGAACAATATTTGATCGAACGAAACCCCATGCGCTTGAGACTGTGCTTTTGCCACTAAACAGCGTCGAAATGGAGGCTGGAGAATGCAAGTGGAGAGAATATGAGCCGCAGGGGAAGGCACAGCGCGCTAGCATCGTAGGCTTGGAACGCGTGAGGGACTACCTGGACCGTCCTAATGTTATGTGAGATGCTCAACGAGGCTGCCTTTAGACAACACGGCAACCTCACTATCGGTCTAAACCGACTTTCAGCCTTAGGTAGCCTCGTGGGTGGGTTGGATTGACACGTCAGTACGGTCTCAATTTGCTGCCATGTCAGTGGATTTTCAAGGCGTCCTGGAGGTGTTCCTTTCCTCCATGTCGACGGCAGCAGTGACTAGACGAGTTTTGGCAGAATTCAATAACAAAATAACAAATTTGACAGCAAGATAGGACAATGCAAGACCTCTCTCCATACTGCTGCTCAGTTCAACATGAGAGCCGTAGATTCTGGGTGGTCTAGGGAGACACCTGACTCTATGCTTTACTGAGGCCTCCGTAGCACACCAGACTATTTCAATTTGGGAGGAGCGGTCGATAAGAGAGTCAGTGGTCGATCAAGCCATTAAACGACCGAGATATACAAAGGCTACATCATGAATCACTCCAGCACCACGTTATTGGCGTACAAGCTATCATTCTCAACCTCCTTCAACCACAGCCCCCACGGCCGGTCCGAGGTCGCGCCGATCGAAACCTCGCAGTCCCGCGCTTGCTGGGCGGTCAGGGGTTCAAAGGCACTTGTCTCACCATCGTCGTCGTGGCTATCGCCAGAACCGCCGCCGGTCCACGCTCTGGCCTCGTCGCCCGGCAGGCCGGCAAAGGCGCCTCGGAGCAGCGTCGCCGTCGTCTGCGCCTTGGCGTTGGACTGCGTGAAGATGGCTTGGAAGACGGCCGTCTGGATGTCGGCCGCGGCGGTGGTGAAGCCGTGGCGCCGCATCAGCACGACGTTGTAATCGGGCGTGGTGGCGGACACGTTGGTGGCGGAGACAAACGTCCTGGCCAGATCTTGGCCGAGCTTCGGCGTGCGGATCAACAGGTCGTGCGGCTCGGTGGCGTTGTAGGACTCCTCGACGTCGTACAGTGGGGCGGGCCCGGGTCCGAGGAAGCCCGCCATGTGGTACACGGCGCGCAGCGGAACTCCGGCGATGGCGTACGGCAGCACGTCCTCGCTGTGGCTGTGGACCACGCACCCAACGTCCGGAAACCGTCTGTACATCTCCCCGTGGATGTACCGCTCGATGTAGCCCCTGGGCGCGTCCGGGTCGACGGCCATCGAGTCGTTCACGCGATACTGCACGAGGTCGCTGGCGTTGCTGACCAGCGCGGGCGCCATGTTGGCAGACATGAGATACGTCGACGCGTCGAGCGGGTGCCGCGCCGAAATGTGCCCGTAGGCGTCGAGCACCGACGTGAAATGCAAGATGTGGTTCGCGGAGATGAGATCGCGCTGGATCTGGTCGACGACATAGTAACTTGTCATTCGTTCATTCATTCAAATGTCTAGATTACTTGAGGCAGCCACAACGATTCTGCCAATGATTACTTACTTGTGTGAGGTTCACCATCTTGGGGCACTTGTCTTGAGTTTTAGGAAGAGGAGACACTGAAGACCCTGCTTGTTATGCTGCTCGGAGACGAGGTAGAAAAGCAAAAAGCTCCGACGTCCAAATCCGACACAGGCAGGGGAGGAGAAATGGTCCAGGTTTTAACAAACATACAGCTTCGCTCTATTCGTCCCCGCATCTTCCTTGGTCCCTCTCCCTCTCCATTCGCCAACATGGACATATTTGGGAAATGATATGCTGACCACGCACAATGTCACTGCTTGGCGGTGTGACGCGGGTGGCTTCCTCGGCAAGTGCTCTGGGGTATAGCCTGGCCAAGGCTGGCAGGCATCGGCAAATGTTGTACCCTGCGCCAAAGTCCGAACACATTCCCTTCGTTCTGAAGATGATATTTGCAAAGGTTGAGCGTCGAATGTACCTTCACGTCACCGCTAAGTGGCGATTGTTCTTGAACGTGTGCGGTTGCGGTTGTCTGTTGGATGATGAAATGCAACAAACATGTCGCAGAAGCTCGACACAAAGGTTTTGAAGGTCTGTGCCCGATAACAGCCAGCAATAAGGGGGTAGCATCCACAAACTCGACCGTGGGATAGTCATGCCATGATACTTCCCTGGATAACCCAAGACGACGCCAAGTCGACATTTAGGTTGGGCCTCTCGGTGACGAAAGGTGTGATATCCAGTAGTTCGCAGGTGCGCAGGAGTACAAGAGTGCATCTTGTGAGTGCATCCTGAGCCAACCCAGATGCAAATTGGTGAGAACCTGGTCAAGTCGCAGCACGGTCCAGCCAGCCTCACGAAATCTTGGTGTCGTCAACCTCCATAGCCCCGAGTTCCCGCACCGTCGACGTGCTCTTGTCAAATACTGCCCTTAACCCGATTCTGAACTCCGACATGCGCACACCCAGAATCTTCAAGATGGACGTCTGTCGTGAGTCGAGCGTATCTCCCTCCTTGCAGACAAGGTACCCCTCTTCCTCGTCCATCGACCCGTCCGGGTGCTCTTCCAACACGACCTTGCCCTTGACGAGACGAGTGGGTATCCCTAGTTTTCGAAGCGTCGGTTCGATCTGGACGGGGAGGGGATCATCCTCACCGCCTTCGACGCCATACTGAGTATGAATCTCCCCCGGAGGTATCCTAACGTCCCGGGTGGCGACGTTGCCACTCCTGGCAAAGTCCTGATTCAACCAATCTGCAAAGTATTCTTCAATCTTCTCGGGTTCTTGGTCTGTGAAAAGCAGCCCGACCTCGCCCTTCACATACGGAGCCAGGGCACGGACCCCGGGTACGCACTCGGTCTCCTCCGTCTGTCCCAGTCCCACCATCAAGACTTTAGTCTTGCCCATCATGATCCTCGAGTCACCAAAGTCCGCTCTGACCTGCTTGAGGAAGTTGTTGCGGGTGTTTTGGACGTCAAACACCCAGATGTACGAGTACTTTTCGGCGGCGTCTTGCACATTTGCAGCGAGGCGGCGGACCAGCTCTTTTCTGTTTTTCCGCACCTTGGACGTCGGGACGACTCTATTGCGCTTCGACGGAGGCATGGCGGAGGTTATGGAATCGACAGGCCCGTGAGAGAGGGTTAGAACTGGAGAGATATTGCTGGTGCGGTGGACCGACGTCTGAGTTTCCACTGCGCTGGGAAAAAAACATGAAATAATTTTCGATTCGAAAATTCTTGGGTAGAAGGAAAGTGAGCCGAGAACAGACTAACCTCTTCTGGTTAATCACCTTGCCGCTTGCCGTCTGGACAAATCCACTGATAATAGACTTTCGCAATCTCCTTGTCCACCCACCTTAATGTTCTTTAAATTAACGAGGGCTCTTCAAGGACTTTAGAGCCGTCTACCTACGAGTACCGAGTTACGTGGAACACAAATCACCAAGGTCATCCGACTTTCATACCGACTCAGCATTTTCCTCTTGAAGATCCGACGTTCAACATCGTAGCGGATGTCTTTGTATAGATTTCTGCACAAACTGGAATCGGTCAAAGATCTGGGGATCGACGTTCGCTATCTAGGTATATACATCTCGCCGCTTCATATACTCAGCCAATGGCTGGAGGGTACATAACAGACCGCCAGCGGAAATCCGCATGAACTTTCTCCTCCCCGCCCTGCTAATCTATTTATTCCTGCGCCTTGACGAAATCGATGACGGCGACGTTCGGACCGGGCCAGTGCTTCCGCGCGCGCAGGAACCACAAGGCGATGGCGAAGAAAAACACAAACAGGAAGATCGGTCCCGCGTAGTTCATGTTCGATGCGGTCACGGGTAGCGTGCTCGGAATCGGCAGGAACACCATGATGTACAGCGTGTAGACGAGCGCGAAGCTGTTGATGTAGACCCCGTACCGGCCCAAGTTCCATCCGCCCAGCTCGAGAGGTTTGCCTCCGTGCGACGAGGTCCAACGCGCCAACAGCATTGCTGAGATGGCAGTGCCATACGAAAAGTACAGCGCTAGCGAGGACAGTGCCGTGATGGCTCCAAATGCGGTCGTGGAGCCGATGTTGAGGAGCGACAGCAGCATGACAACGACAAGCGAGAGCCAGATTGAACGTATTGGCACATGGTGGGTCGAGTCCACAAGCGCGAACCATCGAGGTAACCCACCATCCCGGGACCAAGCCCAAGTCAGTCGCGACACTGAGGCGATGGACGCAATGTTAACACAGAACGAAATAACAAAAAGTCCACAAACCATCGCAGTGGTCGCTTTGACAGACCCAGTAACGCGGAGAAGGATGGTGATGATGGGGAAACCAGAGTTGAGCACTTCGTCAATGGGTCCCATGGCACTGAGGATGGCAATCACCATGGCGTATGCAAGGACACCATTCAGGGCGATTGACCAGAATGTTGCGCGTGGCACCGCCTGAGGAGCCTTCTTTGTTTCCTCACTGAGATGGCACGAATCGTCAAATCCAGTGAAACTCCACGCACAGGTGAGCATCCCCAGATTCCACGCAATATACGTGTCCGTCCAGCCTGAGGATATGGACCGTTCCAAGAAGATGAACTCGGCGCTGTGGCGGCTGCCCATGACAACCAACACAACCAGAAACAGGATAAACAGACAGACGTGCAATATTCCCGCCACAAGCTCAAGCCAGGGCACCACAGCAAAGGTCGTGCCGAAAGAATTGATCAGACCCTGGACGAGCAGGATGGCGATCATGATCAGTGTGATGTGCCAGGTCTCGGGGACGTAGCTGGGATGATTGAGCATCGCCAACTGCTGCAGAATGATAGCGGTGATATTTGCGATGCCGGCGAGCAAAGAAACCCATCCAAACCACGTCATCCAGCCCTGCATCCAGGTGATGAATCTTTTTATATTCGACGGCGCGAGGTTGTATGTCCAGTGGTACTGGGCGCCGGCAATAGGAATCGTTGATGCCATCTCGGCGATGGATGCTGCTTGTGCGATAGCCCCAAAATAGACAATCACGACGCTCCAGGCAAACGTCTGCGGACCTCCGTTGTAAAGAGCAAAAAACATATTCCTGTCCCTGGTCAGCTTTTACCCCAGCGATTAATCTGCTTCTACGGGGACACTCACGTATTCATTCCTTCCCATGTGCTCATAAAGGTCAAAGAAAAGGCAAAGATCTGGGAGAAGCTGAACAACCTCCGAACTCTTGTCACGCTCTCGATCGTTTGTCCATTTCCGCCCACATTCGAGGCTGCGCCATAACCTGATTCCGCATGATCGCTGGTTTTATGGTTTCCAAAGCGGTTGACCGTCAACTGCACATCTTTGTCCACTTTATGCAGCTCGTAAGCTTCGCTGTGGTCGGACATGGTAGGTGTATTTCCCAACGGTTAGTTTGGGGGAAGATATACCGTGGAACAGGTCTTGATTGGGAAAAAAGAGCTGAGATGAGGAACCAGAGAAATGTCCTTTTACAAGGCTGAAGAAGGAAGAGAGAGGGAGAGAGGGAAAAGAGAGAGAGAGAAAGAAAAACGTGCAGCGAAAGGGTCGTGGAGAAGAGCGTGGTTAGTCCCATGTGTTCGAGGCCGACTTTATCGAGGTCAACAATGGGCCATTTCTCTTAGCGAACCCTCTAGTCTTTGACGAACAGGAATTCAGCTCAGCAGCGGAGGTGATAGCCTGGCCCATCGGGAGCGGCGTCCTCCCGGCTGCACGTTGTTAATGGGTGATACACATCCCGCCCCAGTGGATGTTTGGACGGCGTGGACGAAGCAGCTATCAACCAACGGTAAACATGGGTTTTTTTGTCAAAGGAGATGCATTGCCGAGCAGGGTTCGTCCTTGCCACATTGATGCACCTAGACGAATACTTACACGTGTGATTACAGGGGATTGGAAGTTTCGGAAGGGGAGGATTGCCAGGCGAAGAAGTTGGGGCGGGGACAAGGTGGGATCTTCAAATGACGACGGGAAATTTGCTCATTTGCCGTGTGATCATGTGCGATATGGATAGAATGACGGTCAAATGACACTTCTCCATATCGCCATCCATTGACGGACACTTTGACCGATTCGAGGGATTGTCTTCAGCCTCCCCAGCGAGCGATATTCCTTGGTCGATTCTTGGTGTAGCGAAAGTCCAAGCCTCAGCCCTCACCCATGTTTCTTACTGGTAGCGGGGAACCCGCTTCCGACTTTACAAGACTTCTAGCCAAGTGCCAAACTTGCAGGGGTCTTGTTCCCCCCCTGGGCTCTTGTGTAGATCCTTCTGTTCTGGGCTGCCTTGCCTGGCTCATTTTGGTTGGAGTTGTCCGGTAATTGGCCTGAGATCATTTCCATGGATTATGGGAGGACACATAGACGTGATAATCTGTTGAACACGCCACGTTCTTAGCAGTTCCAAGCTCCTCGGATCGCGTTTTGCCATGAGGAAGAATGGGATATGCTCGATCTTGGAGGACAATGGAAGAAAAAAAAAGCATTCCCAGTAGAAGATACATGATCCAAACGTGAACAAAGTACTGTATTTCGTGTTGCTGGTCTCTGGGGAAGCCTAGTGGTTGGATTGTGGCGGCTGGGCTGCTGGTCCCCTGGACAAACGCAGACATGCTGGGCTTCATTCCCCTGCAAACACGAGCCGTAGTGGAATCCTGATACCACAGGGCAGCCTCAGGAGCGGCATGCTGGCTGGGGGGGCCCCCATTCGGATCAAGTATAGCCATAGGACAGCTTAGCCAGGTGGCCAACCATGCAAAGCCTGGCCAGGTCGATCACCACCACCTTGCCCTGCCCATCGTCGGGGAATAACAGACGCCAGATGCCCACCGTCTGCGTGCCTTTTCAACTCTGGAGTTTGTTTCTTGATACTGTTCAACCCTCGTCTCTGCGCTTCGTCCACATCCTACCACGGCAGTCAGGATGGCGGATCAAGAGTCTCCTGCTTTCTTTCAGATCTCCCCCAACAACCATGCGCCGTGGGTTGTGGTGACGGCCACGGTATTTCTGATATACTCGATTATGGCCGTCGTGTTCAAGGTCGTGTCAAAGCTTCACCTCACGTTCATGAAACTATACGACTGGCTGATAGTCGCATCGACAATCACTGCACTGGTGCAAACCACCTGTGTCATCGCTGCGTGCAAGCATGGCCTAGGGCGACACCATGATGCCGTGTCCAACGACCAGTCTGCCTCCTTCTCACGAGTTATGTTGTGACCATGTCTTTCCTCCCTCCCCCATAGAGGATGGATCTGCTGACAGAAGTACAGTATACATACGCAGCCCAGATGCTTTTCATCATCGCCTGCGCCTTCGCAAAAGCATCCGTCGTCTCTTTTGTCATGGCTATAGCGCCACAGCGACGGATTCAACGCTTTTGTTACGCCCTGCTGGCTATCATCGTTGGCTGGACAGTTTCTGGGGTCTTCGCAATCGCCTTTCAGTGCAAACTACCACAGCCGTGGATATTCGAGGACGGAAAATGCATCGATCAGGAGGCGCTCTCGCTCTTTCTAGGGATCGTGAACATCCTGACAGACCTGGCCCTGGTCGCCATCCCCTCGGCCATGATGTGGTGGGTGCAGACAAACACGACCAGAAAATGGCAGGTCGTGACCTTGTTCGCCTCTCGAATCATGTATGTGCCAAAAATGTCCTCGGGAACTTTGAAAAGAGCCTCGCACTGATATGTCAAGACAGTGTTCCCATTTTCATCATCGTCCAGCTTGTCGAGTATCGCAAATTGTACGAATCTGACGACAGGAGCTGGAACATGGTCGGCCCGGCCATCTGGAGCCAACTGGTGATGAACCTGTCTATCCTCACGGCATGCATCCCGAGTTTGAAAACAGTCCTCGACATGTTCAAATCCGGCACCTCGTTCTTCACCGTCCCTGCCCAGTACCAGACGACCGTCGACAACAGCTCTCAGGGGCTCCGATCTAAGATTGCCACCGCCGTCACGCAGCGATTCACAATGAAGCGGACGGCCAATAGGAGCCAGAACAACACCACCGCCTCGTCGAGAGAGTGGCCTACAAAACAGATGAAAGCGGTCAGTGGGCAACATTCCGCACAAGTCTCGAGTAATGTCCGGAGCCACTCTGACATGAAGGACATTCCTGTACGCAGTGAGAGCCAGAGGAGCCTGACAGAGAATGCCATCATGAGGACTGTAGCATACGAAGTCGGGTACGAGGACATGATGGCCGCACACAATGCTGCCGGGTCGGATGGGCAATCTCGAATTTCCATCAACAGCGAGGCTCAGCATTCTTACTAGACCCACAGTGCAGAGTTTCGGCCCCTCCCGTTGGTCTTGGAAGGGGAATATCGGGCCCCCCGAAGAGCCTATTGCTACCTACTATCAGTTCGATGGCTTGATAAAAAGTATGGCATAGCATGGAGGAGGGAGATGTGACATATCTTTGTATGAATATCATTGACAGACCATGTCAACACCATCCAAGTACCTCGCACAGGGACGACAGCCCTTGGGGGGAGGAGTGTTCGGCATAAAATCTCAGTCGCCCGCAGGATTCTCTGGAGGGTCTGCTAGGCGCCCACAGGCGTAGCGGACGACTTCTTGAATAGGCGAGAGCCTGAGCGATCACACGACTTGACAAGCCAAGTCCACAAGTCCAAGAACGAGTACTGGCATGGGCAACTGCAGTTTGCCCAAGCGAAAGAGGACACGGAGCTTTCCGTTTCCAACTAGCTGACGCCTCATTCAAGTAGCTAGAGGATCCCCGTTAGACGGTCTGGAGGGCCGCGGCCTGGAAAGGAGCCTAAGGAAGGGTCCGGTCGGTTAATCCTGACTCTATATCTCCACAGTGCCGTTGCAAGTGGCAAGGCCCAGTGGATTGCGGGATAACTAGCGCACAATCCACCACCCAGTGTGAACCTGGGTGCACCTGTGCGTCAAATCGAACCTGCTCAAGCTGTTGCGGTCAAGGTTTCATCAGGCGGTGGAGAAATCGACTTCTTCCCTTGAAATATCCAAGGTTAGTCATGATAGAATGGACATTTACCTATTGCAGTGCCTCGTACGGTAAATTCCTAGATATCCCGCGGGTGAGTCGTTCAACAAGTCTGTCTTTGCCAACTGGTGCTGCGAGATGCTCGAGACTGCACCACTCCTCCAATCAGACCAGGCCTCATCGGAGCAAGGGGACAATGCCAGCAATGACAGCAGCATCTGCCTCGAACCAGCCACGACATGGGAAGCCGAAACACGGGCAATGATCTCCGACACCGTGCCCTTGGTCTTGACGTACATGCTGCAATACTTCTACAGCCTGATCATCGTGTTGGTCGTCGGCCACATTGGCGAAGACGAGCTCGCTGGCGTGTCCTTGGGAGTTACAACCATGAACATTGTCGGCTTCGCCGTCTTCGAGGGCATGGCAACGAGTCTGGATACGCTGTGCGCGCAGGCCTTTGGAGCCGGCAATCGAAAAGCCGTCGGCTTACACGTCCAGAGAATGGTCCTGTTGCTGCTCCTGGTAGCTTGTCCGATTGGTGCGCTGTGGCTCTGTTCCCCCTGGATCCTGGCCGGGATGATCCCTCAGCCACAACTGGCAACTGTGGCCGGAACGTTCCTGAGGACATCGCTTGTCGGCGTGCCTGGATACGTGGTGTTTGAAGCCGGCAAGCGGTTCCTGCAGTGCCAGGGGAACTTCACTGCGTCGTTGGCCGTGCTTCTGATCTGCACACCGATCAACCTGGTCCTCAACTGGATTCTGGTGTTCCAGCTTGGGCTGGGAGTCATGGGATCTGCGCTTGCAGCGGCCCTGAGCAACAACCTCCGAGCCGCACTGCTGGTGTTGTACGTCGCTCTCTACCTCCCGGAGACGCATCAGTGCTGGCCTGGATTTCTCCCCAAGACCGCTTTCCAAAACTGGATGCCTATGATCAAGCTCGCAATCCCGGGTGCAGTTATGACACTGGGGGAGTGGTTTGCCTTTGAGCTGCTTAACTTCAGTGCTGCGTACATCAAGACCGGCGACAACAAATCCGTGAGCTCGGGACCCCTGGCAGCCCAAGCGATCCTGTCGACAACTTCGGTGTTGGTATGGCATATTCCTTTCTCTGGGAGCGTGGTGGCAAGCACCAGAATTGGTCACTTGATAGGGAGAGGTTCAGTCCGCGCCGCGAAATCAATGTCTAAATTCTACGCCGTCTTCTTCTCCGGAACCGCCCTGTTCGACATGACCCTGGCGTTCGCCGCTGGCAGTCTTATCGCATGTTTCAGCACTGCAAACACATCCAGCGAGGTTCGAGAGCTTGTTGTAGGGACACTGCCATATGTCGCCATCTTTCAAATCTTTGATGCTGCGGTTTGCTGCATCCATGGCATAATGCGCGGACTGGGACGTCAGGCCATTGGCGGCTGGGCCACATTCGCCATTAACTATTGCATTGGAGTACCCTTGGCTATGGTGCTCGCTCTGGGGCCCCCAATGCTGGGACTGCCAGGTCTTTGGTCGGGGTTATCCATCGGAGTGGCTGTTTTGGCGGCTGTGCAGGCAATTGTCTTGCGGATCATAGACTGGGAAAAGTGTGTAGTGGATGCCAAAGAGCGGGAAGAGATTCTGTGACGAGCTGCAGAGTCTGATGCCAGAGGAGGATTTGAAAAGTATGGCGCCTGGAATTGCATAGACATGTTCTAGATGGTCAAACTTTTGTCTCCTAACCCTCGAGGACCCTCTACAAGCTGAATATCAACTGTGTGATTCATACGGTAACTCACCTGATCAAAGCTCGCCTGTGTTGAGCTTCACATTATGACATAGCTGTAGCAGATAGCTGTGTCGAATATGGATGACATAGAAACTATCAGGATGGTTGTTGAGGTCTGATCCGGGCTTGTGTCGCAGTTGTGGAGTTGCACTGAGGGTTGAGAAGAAATGCATATCTTGTCAATCAGTCTCCACCACGGACGCATTTGCCAATGTTGGCAACCTCCACACAGCGGGAAATGTGTGGCTCTTGACCATTGGGGAGCTCGGCGTTGATCCTTTGTCCCCTGAAACACTCTAACTCGGCATCTTTCCGCTGATGGCGTCGAGTGATATTCGTAGATGGATCCTCCTCTCCGCTTTCGTAGCCTTTATGGTCACCACTATCTTGCCATGTTTTGCGAGCGTTTTTTGTGCCTTCAGCGCAGAACGTAGTCGGCATCGCCGAGAGAGTCTGAGACGACATTGCTCATTATTCCGGGGAATATGCATGTTGACCCGGCACAAATTACCCCCTGACCAACGGTGGCAGAGCAAGAGAAATGAGATGGGGATGAGGGGAGAGTTGGGGGCGAGGGTTGATGTACTTTACCTATGTACAGCCAGGAAACCCAGTGGCAAGCAGCAGCACGGCTTTTAAAGGGTTGCCAGCCAGTCCCAGAGGCCGTCGGTCATACTGGCCTGGAAAGCGTGTCACGCAACGGGAGAATGGGAGACTGTCTTACTCTGGAATACCAAGGACGGCCGCGATTCTCAGCAGATATCATTGCACTGTCGTCGGCCAATCAGGCGTACCACACTTGAGCAATTCCTGTCCTAACGGACAACAAGAGTCCAAATCGATGATAACAGCGTCCCCCATTGCTGATCATGACATTCCATATATTCAGTTCATTATGAGCCAGTCCTGTAGAATGAAGGGCTTCAAGGCCTTGGCGTATTTAATCAAGCCATTTGATAGCCTGAGCGTGCTCGAAGCTTTGCCTCATTCGTTCGTTGAGAGGCTGGTGGTGCTTGGAGAGAGCGAGGCCCACGATACAGCCACCCTACACTGTACACCCGTGGAACCTTGCAATGGAAGGAGACTTGTATTGCTGTAGGCGTTCATATATCGTAGCTTCTCTCAGAAGTGACTCTGCCAAATGAGGAGAGCGTTCGTATGCAGAAAAGAGTGGCTTTTTCTGGTAAATCGATTCCTTGAATTCTCCTTGGAATACGCTCAGATTGGCTAGAAGGGATGGGTAGATATGTTGAGTGGGATCGTGAACCACTATTGCATCTGTTAGAACATGGTATTCGTTTGCCGATCGTGGACTTTGGCGAAGGAAAATTTCCGGTCTTGATCGGTCGCGATGATGGTGGTGTGTAAGAATGCGGCTTCGTTCGTCGCCTCGTTCCAATACCAGCACTCGGCGGCATCAACGAATTTCATGTTGAATGTCCCATGCTCATCACAGCAGGCGTGGTTTTGGGAGATTGTATTTGAGCATCGGAGGGTACGAGACCGGCGGTAGTGGGCTGGAGGAGGCGAGCAGCGCCTGGTACCGCGCATTCAATTGGCAGAAATTGTATGTAATGCAAGAGGCACTTATGATGCCAAGACTTTAGTAAGCTAGGCCCGATTCGGGGCCTGCGCCAAACTCTCAATTTCACATGCACCTACAGAGTACGAATATGCGGTTCAGGCCGCTTTCACAATTCCCCCCAAAAAATGCTGGGCACGCTCCGTGAGGATGCGCTGAACTGAAGCAATTATAGACCTCCCTACCGAGTACAATTCTCCTCTCCACAGACCCGTCAGGCGCGTTCGAGAGCTTCGAGACACACAACCATGGAGAACCAAACATCTCGTAGGGCGTCCCCAACACAGAATTACCTGGTAGCATACAACACCGTCTGCCTGGCCCTGTGGTCCGTCATCACGCTCCGAGCCGTCTTCCTCATTCCCACGCTCTTCGCACTCGGCAAGCCTCAGGGCCTGCTCGACGCTCTCTTCCCCCTCCTCAAATGGACCCAGACGATCGCCCTGCTCGAAATCCTCCATGCCACCGTGGGCCTTGTGCGAGCCAGCCCCCTCACGACGGCAATGCAAGTCGCGTCGCGGATATTGGTGGTCTGGGTTGTACTCAACTTGTTCCCACAGATCGTCGCCACGACCAACAGCTACGGCAAGTCCGTGCCGGGTTCGACGACGGGGCCGATCGCTTTTGCGGGGATCTTGCTGGCCTGGGGGACCACAGAAGTCATTCGATACGGGTTCTTCGTGTGGAAGGCCGCGATCAGTGAAATGGTCCCGACTGGCCTGACCTGGCTCCGATACAATACTTTTTTCGTCCTGTACCCCATCGGTATCTCCAGCGAATGTCTGCTCATGTACCTCGCATTGAAGCCAGCCGCGAAGCAGGGACTACGGATCGATCTGCTGTTGAAGGCTGTCCTGCTCATCTACGTCCCGGGGAGCTATATTCTGTACACTCACATGATGGCCCAACGGCGCAAGGTCATGAAGGGCAAAGGAAAATCCGCTTGAGAGAGACACATGTCACTTGGGGGAACCATTAAAAAATGATATGCGGGTCTTGAGAGTATGAGGCACCTGGTGAATCCAGCATCCAGACAAATTTCAGGCAGGAAATCGATCAATGGCTGACACCAGTGGTCTCCAAACCCAACCCTGTGCTTCGATGCCTTGGGAGGAAAGCAATGCTTCCAGGTCACCGAGAGATGGAGGAGAACATGTGGAATATCAGAAAAATGCTACAGAGTATACATACACAGCTGTCTCGAGGAGCTGGAAGAGATGGGCTATCCCTGATAATCGATGCGGCATATGGGCCTCTACAACGGGATTGCTTGCGTCTTGGGTTATGAGAGACAAGCAGACATCGAATGGATGAACACGGTGTCAACGGCAGTAGCCTCGGCATTGTGCCTCACATAGCAGAGTGGTCATATCACCAGGATACGAGGCCGCCATGGTCTATTTTGTTATATTCCTCAGTTCCATACCATCAGTACTGGAGAACGTAAACTCGTCGATCCGGTCCTGGATGGTTGTTTTATCCAGGTTTGAGTCTCTGATGAAACTTCGATAGAGGTATGACCTCTCGCTTCTCACGGTGTTGAGCGCTTCGTCGCTGAAGTCTATAGGCTGCCATGGCCTATCTTGTTATATTCCTCAGTTCCATACCATCAGTACTAGAGAACGTAAACTCGTCGATCCGGTCCTGGATTGTTGTTTTGTCCAGGTGTGAGTCCGCGATGAAACTTTGGTAGGCCCGTCGTCGTGTCCCAGTACACATTGTTCTGGAGTAATGCCCTGTGGGCGTGCTCCAAGTTGTGTCTTTAAAAGGTTGTACCCTAGAAGGTTATGTTACCATCGAGAGATCGAGAGACGTATCGTTGAGCGTATCGGGGATGCTTCAATAGGGGTTGTGTTGGCTGGGGCGTTTGGCAGCAGAGGATACCCTTTATCCTCGTACTCTGACGACGTACCTTGTCCGAACACGAAGACGCTCTTCCGGTGCTTCTTCTTATCCAGGAGAATCTTCCCTTCGAATCGTCTGCGTCGGGTCTCGTGGAAACAATCTGACTGGCGCAAATATGACAGGCATCTCATTCTTGTCCTATCATCTACCTCCATGTCAGGCAGGGCCACTTGTCATTTTTCGTCGGTTGAATCCGTACTCGTGCCAAAATGTATCTGTGAAGGGATGAGTTTGACAGGCCGTTGATCCGCGGACTCTGCCGGCTTCCGCGCATCTGACTGCTTGCGGTACAGTTCGCGGGCTGTATGGTTTCGCGGTTCGCGGTTGGTTGAGTGGGACATCCAACACAAAATTTCCTGGATGGCCCCCACTGCATTTGGGCTCGTCTGATCCACTACTGGGCGTGACGATTTCAGTGACTTGGCAAGCGCGCCGTTGAGCTTGGGGTCTCCAAGCGATTCTCGATAACATCCGTGTCCTTGTTTGTGTTTGGGAAGTCTCGTTTCTGGGTGTATGAGTCGAGATCTTTTTTCTTGAATTTCAAATCTGCTGAGCCTGATGTCCGATAACTCGAACACTTGATTGTTCTCTCTCCGCGTTCCAGAGAATAGGATAGTCTCGAGCTTGACAATAGAGTTGATTGTCCGAGAAGTCGTCCCGATCTAGGCTTTCTTGTGTGTTGTTCTTCTTCTTCCCTGCTCCTGTTCTCTGTGTTGGAAGACGAATCTTCCCAGATTGCGGGTTTGTAGGCGGGTTTGTAGTAGACCATCCGCTAGGCGAAATAATGAAGACCATAATCGTGCGACGTCGTGTAGGTCAATGGTGGAGTGCACATCTTCATATAGACTTCGAGTGAGCCGCCCTATGAGTGCCCCAGAAGGGTATTCAACCTGTCTCGTTGAGCAAAGGAGCCAACACAGCGCACGATGCTTACCTGGTGTCGAGGGAACTATAGCGCCTCAGCCATTCTGCATTTGGCTTCGAGGATGGCACGCTCGTCAGCCTGGAATAACTTGATCACGTATGTATATATTTATTAGATACCTGGAAGACCGGATTAGCGAGGGTAAATACAGCCTGATAGGGACTGGGCACCAACTTTGTTCACCGTATAGAAACGGCCATGTAAGACTTTGAAACGAGAGTAGCATCTGTGCGTGGCGTGGTATTGAGAGCGAGCGTATTGAACGTAGGCATAGAATGCTCCGAGCGTAGAATGCTGCAAATTGCTGGATTGGGCCATGGAGAAGCATAGCGTGTAGCAGCTACATATTCTCATAGCAATGTTTCTTTTTGATCCTTCGATGCGCAGCAAAGGAACAGACAGGCCCTGTGGCTGCTCGTGTCTGGGAACACGAACCCGCCGCAGGCACACTGGTCACTAGGACCGATGCGCCCAACAAGCCGTCCGAGTCTTTCCAATTTGGAAGCGAGCAGTTGGAGCTTATGGCTGCTTGTTCTGAGGTGTATTGGTATCTTTGCATTTAGATGTCAACCCCTGCTTCGAGCTCTTCATGAAGTGCGTGACCTTGTAACAGCACTCTTTGCTCTGGCGGCAACGTCTTTGCTACCACTTCGAATACCAAAGGTTGGGCATACCGAAGCAACATTGCGGCGTGGGGAGAGTAGGTACAAGTGAGCGGCGAGCGTTGGCTGATGACCACCTCGACGATGGATGTTGGGGTTTTTCTGGAGTAACATTTCCCCAGTATGACAAAGGCTCTCGGTGTCTGTCACCGTCGTGTTACACCCGCCTTGCCGCGAAGCTCTACGGCACCACGAGGCCGCCGCCATGATCCACAACTCGAAGATTTGGTAGTTGATTCGTCAACTCCATACATTTGCTGGGAGAAGAGGCAAAATGGATAGGGAGAAGATGTTCTGAACAACCCATTGCAGAAGGGAGGAAGGGGAACTTTATAGCCCTGGAGCATTGTATGTGTCGCTCGGGCGCTTCCACAAGAGCCACGTAGTAGGAGCTGATTGGCAGCACTGCAGCAACATGCATGAACCAACTGCCTGCGCCCATCAAGTCAGCTTGGGCAGCAGTCCTGGATGATTTGAGGTGGTGCAGTTCAAAGCATGTGCCCATTCGAGGCCTCACATCGTGCATAACCGAAAGTGGAACTACCTGACCAAACACAAGGGCCGAAAAGATGAAGGCCTTTGGCTGTCGAAGCAAAAGAAGCCAGCAAGGCACTTACTGAGCGAGTAGGGGACAGAGACCTCTTGCTGAGTCTGTCGCAGGTAAGATAACCTGACAACCACCCGTGACCAGACTCCGTGGCGGTGTCGAACAACCAGAAAATGTGGTTCAGATCATTTCCGATGTCAAGCACAATGCAGCTTCTGATATCGCGACCCTCGTCGACGCCCTCCAGCCGAACTCTCCGAATCTGAAGAGGCGGTCTTGGGGTGCATGAACATGGGCTGACTCCTTCTCAACAGCGACATGTATCCGGCCGGGTTCTTGGATGAGACTTACCGCACCATCTTGCTACGTCCGGTCTGGGACCGAGACTTCTGCTAGCCGACCTCGAGCACTCTTGAAACACTGCAACAGACAAACGTCTCCAGTGATACCCCGAGTGGGCAGTAGTAGAGGCTGTTGAAGAACCGCAGCATCAGACACCGCGGGCCGGCTATTCAAGCGCGATCAACGACACGTCGAGGGCGACCCTTTTTGCCCGCATTCTCCTCGTTTACTGACCAAAGCCCCCGCCACAGCTGCGTACTTATTCAACGCTCTGCTACAGTCAGCTGAAACCAAAGGGGAAACATCCGATCCATCGTTCAACTTGGCTGTGTCTCAGAAGACTGGGGATCTCCCCAACTCAAGATACCTTGTTAGCAATGTTGGAGGGGGAGTTGAAAGAAGGTCCCGGGCAAAAAGCAGCTTGAAACATCATGCCAGGAATGTCCTAGCGACTCTCACCAGGTCGCAAGTGCAGAGGTTCGCAGGATCAAGCGGCACGCTGGTACACAAATAAACCCGAAGGAGGGCGACAACCCCCGTCCCTGTTCGAATTCGGACTCGGACTCCTGGCTTCCCATTCAGGGACAAGCCACAGCTTTGGGGATGTTTCTCACCGACGAAGAAAGTCGCGGCTCTTCGGCTCGGGAAGCACTACACGAGAAGCTTGATCCTTTGGAGGGGACGGAGTTCTCTCGCATCGTGCCCTTGACCGTAAGACCGCGCCACAACTGCGCACTGAGGCACTAACATAACAAGGAACTCGTGGGCGGATGGAGGTCGTAACGGGCAGGGCACTGGGCACGGCGGTGGGAGAAGTACATAGTGGAGAAGGTTGTGGTGGCTACTTACTTATTGCTACCACGACCGAAGAACCAAAAATCCCCGCCCGTTGTGCGCTTCAGCAATAATTCCTGTCGAGAAACCGTTTTCCGTCCTCAAGTACCGGTACTTGTACCACGGTCGAAGTAACTAGTCTCCAGGCACTAACAAGCGTACCTGGCAGAGCAGCAGCGCCAAAAAGATGCGTATTACTTCAGCTGACGGGATATATATCCACCCACCCACCTCCCCCACATCAACAACCACCGAGAAACTCGTACTCGGTACACCGCCCGGAACGACCTAGTTAGTACCTTCGGAGCGAGGTGTGTGCACTGTGCACTTGTGCAAGCAGATCATCATCCCCACAGACTTCCTCAACGGGCTATATCACACTCGGTTGTGTGACCGTGTGGACCACGACGGAGAACTGGTAGTTATGAGGTCTCACGACACCGAGGCGAAGAAATCAGTGAACTCACTCTCCAACTCCACTTTTATCCGTCCAGGCGCCAAACATTACATACGGAACAAGTATGTAAGTATTCGGTAGACAGTACTGGTACGAGTAGGTACCCTAGGTAACCTAGGTGGGTAGATAGTGATGGGTGAGAGGAGCCAAGCACCCCAAGCACCCCAAGCTACGGTATCGACACATAAGCATAAGATGGGCACCTACCCACAAGTAGGTCCTTGATCCCTTCGACATTGTGGGGGCCGACAACGGGTTTTTCAAAAGTTTATGAAGGTACGTACCGAGTATGTAAGACCAAGCAAAGGGCCACTGAGGGGTGCGCCAGTACGCCTGAGCGGACGTCCGACTGTCCTGATCGTCCTGACCTTTGGCAGTGAAAGGATTACTACTACATACCTCCGCACTGGTATGAGTAGAACCGTTTGAATCCGAGATTGAACGAAGGCGTCAAAGGCGGCGAGAATAAAAAATTCCGAAAACACCGATGAACATTGACCGACAACAAGGGAATGCCCAAGGCAGCAAGGTAGTTAGTCGCGGACAAACCTCTCGGATTCGGGGTTTGGGAATTCCCAAGTTTGGATTGACCATGTACCGAGAACATATTGCCTAACTCGTACTTACATACATTACTTTGTAAGGAATCGATTTGCCTCGCCGCCACACGCCACACGCCCCACGCCACACCACACCGGTCCTTCAGAAGAGATGTCTGGACAACCACCACCAACGGGACAACCAGATCTCCGAGGGGCGAGGTGCGGACCGCTCTCCGTGACCGCAGCAAACACACCACACCACAGGCCGCAGACAAAGCGGGAAAAAGGGTCGATTTTTGTTCTTTCGTGGGGCACACTCACATAACACACAGGGTGGCCTAAAGGGGAGGGCCTTTTGGAAGAAAGTAGTTTTAACCACATTCGGTTTTGTCCCGGGTGATTATTATGCATCGGGTTTATGGGAGGGTGATTGGTGGACAAGATGGGCTGGGGACCTGGCACGATGAAGAGAGGGATGATAGGATGGATGGGTTGGTAGTGATGACTAGACAAGGGGTCCATTCTCCAATCCAATCCCATGCCTGTGTATTTGATATTCGCATCTCGGTAACCGTGAACGAGTGATATCCACTAAAGGACGTCTCATCATCGTGGCCGTGATCATGTCACTTCCAGCTACCAAATACCTAGTACCTGGTACCTGGTACCTGGGCCCGGAGACGGTAATACCGAGCACTCGCCGTGAACAGTTCGCCCATGCTTGTACCGACCGGCACACTGAGCACTTTGAAGGGCAAAAGGTACTTACATACCTCGTACATACTGTGAGTGTCCCTTTGTAGTGCACCGACTTACGGAGTATAGACTCGGTACTTGCATCTCGTAGGTGTACATGATGATGGAAAAGCCACACACGTACCTCGTACTCCGTAGGTAGATTGCCGACGCATCCCGCACGCCTTGCATGCTTTATTGGGACAAAATGGATACCCGTTCACTAGTGCTAGTCCATTTCTCAATGTCCTGCAACCCATGAGTAAGTACTGGTTTGTCCTCGGGTACTCAAACAAGTAACTCCGTACACAAGGAATAACAATCCGTTGCCGAAGGTGCCGAGCAACAGCCAATAACTTGCCGTTTTTACTCATACACCTGTAGCTGCACCGGTGCACTGCTTCTGCTGATGCTGCGAACGAGGAGACGGACTTACTTGCTGATCGTAGGATCTACCTGTAGTTACGCCCGTAACATGGTACCTAGAGGATGTACCAGTAGGAGCTAACTTGCCTACGAGTACCGAGTACTTGGTAAAAGCCTCTCGCCAAGAGGGTCAATAGTTCTACCAACCTCTGCCCATTGAGCCCCTGCCCTGCCCTGCCCTACCGATGCCGGAAAAGACCTTCTTTCCCAATATGAACATGTGAAGATCAACATCAAACTTCCCGTCAGGAGAAACAAAGAAAAAGACTCTCTCAGATGTACAGAGTATTATGGCTCAAGGTTCTCTTGTGATCTGTGATGGGGGTCTGTCTCATCATCATCATCCAAGGCCTAGATCTGTCCATGCATGCAGAATAGAGTAACGATGTACTTGGGTCGGGCAAGTAGGGTTTTTGATGAAGAATCCAAGCCCGCGCCCGTGTTAGTATTGAACGATGATCGATTGCGTCACCTGGAGATGAAAAATTGTCTCGTATGGTAATTGAGGGTGATAGGCAGCTTCCAGAAGGAGACAAAACCCTTTCTTCTCCCCTTTAGCGGAATTCCGGAGTCCTACAAGGTTAAAAAGCATGATGAACTAATCTCACCAAAAAGAGCGAAAAAAGGGGGAGAAAGTCAGGACATGCAGCGGGGGAACAGGGCAGGGGAGAAGTTAAAGATCTCACCGCATGAGCCAATGGGAGGTCAAATTTCCCGTACAGCCCAGCCCCCAGAAACTTCCTTTGTCCTTCGTTCTTCGTGCTTGATCCTCGTAGGGCTTGCGATGGTGGGGCCAAAACTCTCGAATTGGCCCGACGACGGACCGTGAACTCGATTTGCGAACTTCGGTTGGATCGACAACCAGTGGCTGAAACTTTGAGAACTTTTTCTCCGTGGGTCTAGCTAGTTGGCTAGCAAACGTGTCGATTGCTGCAAGCTACAGCTGCAGGTATAGGGAGAAAAATAAAGTAAGGAAGAAGAAGTTCTGCAGCATAAGGTTTCTGGGGAGAGAAAAACAAAGGGAGAAATGAAATGGGTTTGTGTGTAAGAGGGAGAGACAGGGAGACACTAGGCAAGAAGCGGTAGAGGGCAGGAGGCAGAATCTCTCACCTGGCAAGAGCCAAACACGAACGATCTCGCTTAGCCCCCCCAATCCATCATCATCATCGTCGACTCATCATTCGTGGATCCACCTCGAAACTTGGCCCTGATGAGGCAAGTCTACGCTCCACAAGGTTGCCGCCATCTTGCGAAGAGCGTGTACCTGGCTACCTGGGGGACATGTAACATACCGAGTAACAAACTTCTTTGCGAGCTTGGCTTCCGGATTACTGGATCCTGTATTGCCGGCCAGGCAGCTGACGATGAAAGAAAGTCTAAAAACTTGCGCTGCTGGCTGCTGGTCTCTCGAGTGTTGCGGTTACACGTTATACGTTACATGAGACCATAGCCTCCAAAGACGGAAATAACTGAGACTATGCGAGTTTGAACAGAGAACAGCGTTGAGCAAAATCTCGTCTGATTGATCGTGTACTAGCTGTTATACATGGGTATCATTATCCAATTCATCATCGTGTGGACCAGGGCCATCCGAAGCAGGCTGCTGCTACCGGTACACCAGGTCTCTCCAGTCTCCAGTCTGGTTTCTGGAGATGCTAAGAATATCTCTCCCCCTTCAAAACATAGGAAAACCGGCTCCCTTGTGTGCTTGAATAAATCGCTCATTTCGCTTTTGTCGCTATCCACGCCGTGTGCCCACATCCCCCAAGAATTGCTTGTCGTAATAAATAATGGTACAAGAAGACATGGCACTGTTTAGTGCGTCACGTGTACCATACTGGGTCTTCTCTCATAGGTATAGCCATATGCTACCGGGCCACTCGCATAGGCGTATTGTGCATCGTAGCTGTACGAGTAGTCGTATTGCTGTTCCTGGAGATCCCGCAGGAGTTCCTCCTCCAAGTCCTCTTCCTGGTCGAGCAAGTCCTCCACCGCGGTAGCACATCGGTCATGGGCCAACCTCAGGCCTTCGGTGGCATCCACCCCAGTGACTCTGCAGATACTGAGAATGGAATTGAGCTTGGATCGTTGGGTCTGAAACTGGGCTTCGATTCGCTTCGAGGCTGAGATGATGGATCCGTATGGGCTGGCGGATTGGGCAATAGGTGACGAAGCCACAGGGCTGGATGGTGCCGAAGAGATGGGTGAATTTGTAGGTGTGCCGGTAGTGAGATTGTAGCGAGCCGACAGGGGAGAATGAGAGGCGATCAGTGTTGCCAGTTTCCAAATATCACAGTAGATGCATTCTTCTACACATGCCGACGAGAGGACTGTCTGGGTGGCTGCCAGTTGTTGTTGGGTAGACACCATGGGCCGGAGACCCCTCAGGATCGCCGTCTTTGATTTGCAGCTTGAAGGCATTGTGTTGTGTGTTGGAAGATTGTTGATGGGAGTGTCCGACAGAGTTGCTGATATAGATAATTGTCTTGAAGGTGTCAGTCGAGGGGTCATGGAATTCGAGCAGATTTGATGTCTGAGATGTAGGAGCTTGGGACACGAGACTGGGTGGATAGCTGTCGATCTTCTGTTGCATGGCAGGGAGGAAAACGACGAGGCGGGATGGGAAGGGCAAGATATAATATGCGAATCTCACTTTCGGAGGTTTAATATGATGACTACCTTAGCCCCTGGTTCATTTGGAACATCAGATTCAGGTGAAGGTAAGCAGGTGACTCTGGACTCACTCACCGTTGGAACCCTGGATGGACAGTCAGGATCAAAATGCAGCCACGCATCTGAACCCCCAAACAAGGGATGGTGGCATCCAGGTCACATTGTGCTGAGTCGAATGGGAATCATTGTTTGCGGATGCCACCACGTGGAGAGACAGGGATGGGCGTGAATGCGAGAATGCGGGCACCAGCTTTTGACGGTGAGCGAGACAAGAGTGACGGTGGTGACAGCAGATGGTGCCATGGTGGATGGTGGTGTTGGTCACTTGTCCCGAGTAGAGAAATTAGTGGGGATTTTACCAGGAGGAGCAAAAGGACAAAAGGACCCCAAGGGCCAAAGGGCACAAATGCCCAACCACTTAGCGGTCAAGTTGGGTGGCTAGGGGCCTCGAAAAGCGAAGGCAAGCCTAGCAAGCCTCCAGCAAGCCACCCAGAGATCAAGGACGATCCTTGACTAGGAGCAGCCCCTTCCTGGTCTCGCTAAGCGTCGTGACTGGTTCAGCCGGTGCCCGTAAAGTTCACCCCGGGCAGCCCTGGTGGCCTTGTGCCTCTGTGACGTGCAGGCCGGGGGTTCATTTGTGGTTACTCGGTGATGGCTAGGCAGATTCCACGCCCACAGCCGGCGGTGAGTCGAGTGGATTAAAGCAGCTCAAGGTTAGTCATCTGCAGGTAGCGTCTCCGGAACAGTCCATTTGGTAAAGACTCTCTTCCCTTTTCGCTCACCTCACTCAGCCCTCACTTCTCCCTCACTCTGGTCCTCACTTTTGGTCTCTTTATCGCCATGCCGCCAATTCATTCTCCCTCCCCCGGTATTATGACTGATTACGTCCGGGATCAAAACACTTTGCCTCATTCTCGACCGGGTCTGTTTCTGGTTGAATTCCTTCACTCAGCACTGTTCCGTCTGAGGACAATGCGAATCCACAAACTCAGTATCTCCCATGATCATCCTGCAAACCTCCAGCCCCTCCAGCAGCCCAACTAGTGAGGCAGCCCTCAAACCTTCCTAGGGTCCAGCCGCACCATACCTCATGCCGCAGACCTTGTGCCGCTTTTTCCCCGGAAAGGCGTCAACCGCAGTGACGATGTTTTCACCCCCCGGCTCATCTTTTGTTGGCTTCAGTCCTGCGCATCACACAATCTTTGCCTTCTCCGAAGATCTTCTCCTAATGATACCTGTCTTGGTTTCCTGAAGAGCTAGGCCCGCAGTCACACAGCACCTTGCCTTTCGGACTCAGATCTTATCCCGTACGCCAACTTCCGTGGTTGCTGCCGCTATTGCGGGTACCCTTCTCCGCTCTGGTGTCAGCCCTACTTCCTCGCTCCACTTAGAACTTGCTGCTTGCCCCTCACGCCCTCCTGCCTCGTTTAAGACCGGCGTGTTATTGCTTTCCGCATCGAGATTGTCTGTATCGTTCATGCATCCTTTGCTCGGTCCCTGTCTCGGCACCTCAAAACATTCAGCTATCTCAGCTGCCGTCCTTTAGCCGCTCGAAGCGAGGTGCACAAAGGTATGGTGGACCAAGTTATGGTCCGTTGATGGTGATCAAGAGCTTGGAATGTACATGGCAGACTGAACCCGGGGTAGCATACAAGAATCTATACGAACCGGCTAACGACATGTCAACATCGCCTGGCGCATGAACCGCGTCTCGTGTCCTTGTTTATCGGTGCCACCGTCACACCCTGTACTACGCAAAAACAGCCTTCTGAGTCATTCCCCTTGGGGCCTTGAGTGACATGCAGTAAGGGGGAGGCCAAGTGCAGCATGTCCACTTCTTGAATGTTATGGTTTCAGGAGAACATGGTTTGACCACAGCCTAGATCTAAATTGTTCCAGAACAATCTCCAGGCCATTTCAATCTCAGAGAGGTAGGTACTAGGGAATTGACTTCCGTCTGATATTGGGAAGTTCCGGATGCTGCTCCTTACCTGCGACGCAAGGGGTTCGTCGTTGAGCCATGAGGAAGAGCTTGTCGACGGTCCAGACAATGATTTTCGCTAAGATGCTCAAGGTCTATCTGACTCCTGTTCTCACTAGAGACAAAGCAATTTGGGGAACTTGTCAAACTCTCGTTTACACGGCCCAGACGCAGCTGCAGACACAACTTTTACGAACCACCCCGAAACCGCATCGAGGATACCCGGTGAAGGCCGAGATATCAAGGCATGTGCGACGGAAAAGACTCATAGCATCTCGCCCCAAAAAACATTGGGTCGTAAAAAAGCCCGACCCAGGTACATGATCCCCGAGTGATGAAAATGGGATCCCCATTTCTGCCTGCAATGGACAACGGACAGCGGACAGCGCAGGTGGTGACACAAAGACGACAATACCCGATGCCGGTTTATCTGCAAGGGGAAATACTGCCACAGTAATGCCATCGCAACCCATGACTGACTGACCGACCGCATTTTGCGTGGATCCGGTTACACGACGTGATGCCCCAGCCACCTACCCACCCTCCTCCTGTTCCTGCATCTTGCCTTCACCGCTGCTCGCTCGTTTAAACCGGGGAACCCAAGTAAGGATGTTTGCAGAGGAGGAGGAAACTCCGCCCCCGACTCTTTTTGGGGGAGTTGAAGCTGGAAATGCTATCCTGCTGCACGTGTCCTTGATATTTCCCATCTTCCTAAGGGAAGGGGAACAGGGAAAACTGAACAGAGCAGAGCAGAGCAGTGTGGAAAGGTCCCCAATCGACCGAGAACAAACCAACAAAGACAAAAAGGAAATACTAAAGTTTCTAGGGACGGATAAATGAACAAGCTGGATCGATGAATATTAGGTAGTAATGGGGAAAGATGTACACTATACCTACACTATACCTGGACATACATATGAGAGAGAGATACTCCAGTTTCGTCCATGCGAGGCTGCCACATAGGTATCATGTCGTGATCATGATCTACGCCACTCCCCTTCATCCCCGCACCCACACGCAGCATCGTCGCATGTATATATATACACATGTACATGTACATGGGTCTCGATCAGGATGGTAGATCAATGTATGTAATAATATTTCAACGGCGGGCGTACGTAGCCTTGCACGTCTTCGCCGGCAGTGGCTGTAATGAAATATCAAATTTGAGTGGATGTGCTTTGCTCAGCTTTGCTTTGCTTTGCTTAGCTGGCTACCTAGTTACCTACACAGCTAGGTAAGTTACTTACCTACTGCCTACTGGCTAGGTATTCAGCTATCGACGCTATTTATCTCTGCTGCTCTGTCAACAGCCAACCACACTTCTTCGTTCGTCAGGTCTGATCGTTTTTTTGAACCAAGGACTGTCTGTGAGTTACATTCCTGCGCATGGTGCTCGTAAACCGGACTCATGGATGGCACCAACCACAAACGCGCTAGACAACCAATATCTCATGGTCTGTCTGGGAGCGTCTGCATATCCATCCTCTGAGCGTCTCGTGACCCAGCCTAATATCTTGGTGGTGGTGGCGCACCGTAGCCACCCTGTTGTGGGGGATAGCCTCCCTGTGGTCCACCTTGCGGAGGTCGTCCATAACCGCCCGGTTGCTGTCCTCCATAGCCACCTTGAGGTTGGCCGTAGCCGCCCTGCTGTGGGGGATAGCCACCTTGACCAGGAGGACCACCGTAACCGCCTTGAGCTTGTCCATACCCGCCGCCTGGAGCACCACCATATTGTCCCGGAGGTGGAGCACCATAACCACCGCCTGGAGGACCTCCATAGCCGCCAGGGCCACCTTGAGGAGGTCTCGCACCAGATTTCTCGTCTTTGGTGTCGTAGCTCGAGTCGATACTACCGAGGAGGAGTTTGATAAGCCAGAGTTCGGGGGACAGCTGGACGGGTGGATTAGCACGAGACATCTCGTCAGCTTCGACTTCGTAGTCTGTAAATCGTCACGTCAGCCAGAAACGTCCTTCTGTTCCGGAGTCAAGTTTGGAGCTGTTCTCGAGGCAAATACATACTGGATGTGCAATCAATGATATCACCAATAGTAGGCTCTTCATCAAGTTTTCCCAGAAACTCTCTTGCTTTCAGGTCATTGCCGACTTGTGCAAACTGGAATGCCAACGCTCCCTTGCCGTACCGCGGATTGCGCGCCAACTCGCTCGATGCCGCCGCAATGATCTTAGCCACATCAGACGAGCTTTCGCCCGTAGGTTGACCATCGGTGATGGTGATGACCAACACGGGCTTGCGCAAGGTACCACGCCGGGCACTCTCCAGAACAAGAGGCCCGAGGATCTTGTTTTGCAATTCGCGACCCATGGGTGTGAGGCCAGAAAAGCGGGTACGCGCAATCATCTCATTGACTTGCTGCTCATTGCGAATGTTGTTGCCCTGGTCAGGAGAATTCATGAAGCGGACTTGAATGCCATCGTCGTCGAAGAGGGAGGTGGCAAATGCGACGCGTGACAAAATCAACTTGAGGTCATCAATGCGCTCTCCATTCTCTTCGAATTGCATGGATCCGCTATCATCAATGTACAAGATGACGTCGTACAGGGCCAACTTGACGATGTCCGAGGCTATTTCAGGAGAGATCCTCCATGCTGCGGCCAACTGAGCGACTTGTTGAGCGGCGCGGTTAGCGATCTGGTCGAGCATGGGATGGCCTGGTGGGTAGAAATTCTGAAGTCCTTTCTCTTGAATGGTGGCTTGGAGAAGTTGCTTGTAGGCGCCCACATTACCGACCGGAGCTACAGGCGG